TCACAAGTGACATTGGTTTGCTTTTGTGCATAAGCCTACTAAATGTATTATGATATCTAACCCTTAAAACAAGCCCTTAACACCTAACTACCTCTCATTCTTTACTCCGCACATGAACCGTTAAAACGTAATCCTGCTTCTTAAACATTGTTTACCCATCAAAATCAAACTGAAAGTACCATGAAATAAAAGAGGAGAAATATCAGTGTGCAACATATAGAATCTTTGTTCTCCTAAGGATCTTATGGTGATCGTCAAGTAGGATCATACTAGCCAGCAGGAACATGCAATCCAATATACCTGGAAGTGTTAGATAGTAAAGATGTGTGGTCCGTTTTTTTAAAAATCGACATTCAGACGAAATTTGCGTTATTCAGAGATTTGGATGTATCCCACTCTCCGAATCACAATAGTAATAATTTGAACTAATCCAAGATAAATTATAACAAAAACAACGTATTTATTTGTATTCATTTCATTCGGATGACATGATGTGATAGTTTGGGCCTTTTGGTAATGTTTGAAGCATCCAAAACAACGTAACGACATAACAAATGCCCCATATTGATTCAGAGCCATTCATTTTTATTCTAGTGAGCGTGGTGTGATTATTCTAATAAGATTCTTTTTGTATTGGGATTGAACTTGAAAGACCATGCGCTTAATTTGTATGTGCGCTGCCCAAAAAACAAAGTCAAATGGGTATGGGGAAATGAATTCAACTTATTAGCATAACGAATTAAAACTTATTAATTAATGACCTTAAAAAGAATATAGCCAATCTTCCAAAAAAGACAAAAAAAATTACAGAACTTTCAAAAATACGAATCAATTCGGAGCAACAAATATATACTCTGCCGAAATAACGAATTGTTCTGAAAACTAATCATTCCAACAAAAATGACAAACAAATTTATTAACTTAATGAATGAAACTGAAACGAAACAACATTTTCCGTCATGCACATATCTATTAGATAGCAACCAGACCATGAGCCCTGAAGAGATAGAAGATACAATACGCCACCCACTGAAAAGATGGATACGCCTCTTCTTTTCTTGATGTGTATTTTTAGTTTGATTTGGTTAGATAAGCAACATAGTCACCTAAGTGTATGGTCTTCACACATAACCCCCCACCACAATACTTACAGAGTTTGTCCAGACATTACTCAAATTTAACCCCTCTGACCTTCCTTCTCCACTGCCCTAGTATTTTCTTTTTAACCTTGTTCTTGTAGCAAAAAGCAGATTTAAAGTGCTACTAAACCCACAACAGTAAAATCAGTCTGTATATGCAGTAAGCCATGCTTATTATACTCACTGTGGTACTTAAGGGGTTAATCCTCTCTATTGAGTAAAAAATGATGTTTAATCCTGTCTTCTCTGATCCTCCCCTTCTTCTACTGTCCCCGAGTCATCTCCTGATAGAACAGAGCCTTGGGGACAAGCTGCACATGCTCAGTCTGGTGTGTATTGCTAAAGAGTTTTTTTTCTTGGGAGAGTGCATCAGCACAGGGCCATTCAGTGCTGTCCAGACAGAGGGTCAGGGGTCCTGCAGCCTCAAAGGACAGTCAGAGGAGAATGTAAACTCCTCCTACAAGCTTTAACCAGTGCTCTGCTGGACACTGATAGAAGTCCCAAGACTGCTCTAACTGCTAATGAGAAAAGGTATTTAGCAGTTTATATTTACTAAAATAATTGCATCTCCATGTTCTGTGTACTGTGGGAGACTAGATATAGTGAATGCAGGATCCTGGGTTTAGTAGTAGTTTGAATTACTCCCTGTGACATTTACCAAGCTTTAAAACATTTTTGGAGGGACAGCTGCAGAATTACATCTCTCTAAAGCTCTTTTCCTATGAACTGGTTGTGAGCAGGCTCAGATGAGTCAAAAACAGCAGCAATGTTTTGCTGAGAAAGAAATCAATATACACTATATTGCCAAAAGAATTGGGACGCCTGCTTTTACACGTACATGAACTTTAATGGCATCCCAGTCTTAATCCATAGGGTTCAATATTGAGTTGGCCCACCCTTTGTAGCTATGACAGCTTCAACTCTTCTGGGAAGGCTGTCCAGAAGGTTTAGGAGTGTGTCTATGGGAATGTTTGACCATTCTTCCAGAAACGCATATTTTGAGGTCAGGCACTGATGTCGGATGAGAAGGCCTGACTCGCAGTCCCCGCTCTAATTCATCCCAAAGGTGTTCTGTTGGGTTGAGGTCAGGACTCTGTGCAGGCCAGTCAAGTTCCTCCAACCCAAACTCGCTCATCCATGTCTTTATGGACCTTGCCTTGTGCACTGGTGCGCAGTCATGTTGTAACAGGAAGGGGCCATCCCAAACTGTTCTCACAAAGTTAAGAGAGCATGAAATTGTCCTAAATGTCTTGGTACTTTGACGCCTTAAGAGTTCCCTTCACTGGAACTAAGGGGCCAAGCCCGACCCCTGAAAAACAACCCCACATACCCCCTCCACCAAACTTTATACTTGGCACAATGCAGTCAGGCAAGTACCGTTCTCCTGGCAAGTGCCAAACCCAGACACATCCATTGGATTGTCAGACAGAGAAGCGTGATTCGTCACTCCAGAGAACATGTCTCCACTGCTCTAGAGTCCAGAGCGTGCTTTACACCACTGCATTTGACGCTTTGCATTGCACTTGGTGATGAAAGATTTGGATGCAGCTGCTCGGCCATGGAAACTCATTCTATGAAGTTTTCTACGCACTGTTGTTGTGCCAATCTGAAGGCCACACGAAGTTTGGAGGTCTTTAGCTATTGACTCTGCAGACAGTTGTCGACTTCTGCGCACTGTGCTCTTCAGCATGTGCTGACTCTGCTTTGTCATTTTACGTGGCCTACCACTTCATGGCTGAGTTGCTGTTGTTTCCAGTTGCTTCCACTTTGTTATAATACCACTAATAGCTGACTGGGGAGTATTTAGTAGCAAGGAAATTTCATGGATGGACTTACTGCACAGGTGGCAACCTATCACGATACCACGCTTGAATTCACTGAGCTCCTGAGAGCGACCCATTCTTTCACAAATGTTTGTAGAAGCAGTCTGCATGCCTAGATGCTTGATTTTATACACCTGTGGCCATGGAGGTGATTGGAACACCTGAATCCAATGATTAGGAGGGGTGTCCATATACTTTTGGCAATACAGGCGTACCTCGATTTACGAACGCCTCGGTTAACGTAATTTTCGGTTTACGAATGAAAATCTATTGAAAAAATAGCTCAGTTTACTAATTTTTTTTCGCAATACGAACGGATTAATTAGTTTTCAATGCATTTACAATTTTTTTTTAATCATATCCCTTTATGCCTTTAAAGTGCACTTTATAAAAAGTTTTGAACAGATAAACCTTTTTTTGACTTTTTTCTTACCTCCGGAACAGATTACTGTAATTGGTTTTCAATGCATTTATGACTTAATTTTAATTTTTTTACAGTATTTATGCCTTTAAAGTGCACTTTATAAAGAGTTTTGAACAGATATAAGACTTTTTTTTACTTTTTTATGACCTCCGGAACGGATTAATTGGTTTTCAATGCATTCCTATGGGAAAACCGCGTTTCGGTTTACAAATTTTTCGCAATACAAAAAGTCCCTCAGAACAAATTAAATTCGTAAACCTAGGTACGCCCGTATAGTGTATGTAGAGTAGGACAAAGAGGGATAGGAGATATCTGAAGTTCTGTAGTCAAGCTGGTAGGACTGAAAGTGCTGGTGGGGAGTCAGGGCAGCAAAGGCACTGTGTTGTCAGGTGAAATAGGAAGCTAGGAGCAGAATAGATTTTTGCCTGATCAACAGATAATATGTTATTTCTTTTAAAAGGGAATGAACATTAAAAATGTGCAGCTATTGGAGAGATGTACTGAATATATATTTTTCTTTATTTTTCCCTGACATACTGTATACTGCTCCTAACACTAGTTAACCCCTATTTTGCATCTTGCATACTAACCTTCTCCTGTGCAGGGAGCCCACACTGAAAGCATGCAGGTCCTGTACCAAAAGTGCACAATGTCAAGATCCTAGCACTAAAACACTATGATTACTTTTAAAAGGCAATCTGAACTGGTGTCAGTAGATCCACAGTGGGGGCAGTTGTTATTTCAGTTAACACATATGTGGCACTTCTAGAAACACATCTCTGACATTTGAAAGATTCATTTTTATGTTTTTATTTTCTAAATATAACGGCAAATGTTCCTCTCGCCATATTCTTGACTATGCATCCATACCACATAAATACCCTGTCTAGCATAGAGATCATGAAATCAGTGAGTTTCATAGGAGTAGAGGAAATATATTAAAGTATATCTCAAGCCCAAACGTTTTGTGTAAAAAAATAACTACTTTCTGTTTTTTTTAATGTTCAATTGGAGAGATTTCCTTTCATTTCCTGTCTTGGAAACAGCAGAAAGTGAGTGCAACTTACTCTCGAAAGTGGGGGAAAATAAGCTTTTATTTGTCACAAAACAGGTGTTATCACTGGAAGATTTCTCCTCACTTTCTACACAAAATGTCCCTAATCACCACTACACTAGTTAAGGTGTCCGTGATCATCGCAACGCCAGTTACAGTGTCCGTGATCACTGTCATACCAGTTACAGTGTCCCTGGTCAACACCACACCACTCATATTGCCCCTAATCACTGCCACCCATTCACAGTATTGCTAATCACTGCTGCACCACTCACAATGTCCATGATCACTGCCACAGCAGTCATATCATCCCTCATCATAGCCACACTAGTCATATTGTCTCTGATCACCTCCTCACTAGTTACAGTGTCCCTGATCACCACCACAACAGTCATATTGTCCCTTATCACCGCACACCAGTTACGGTGTTCCTGATCACGTCAGCACCAGTTATATTTTCCCTGATCACCACCACATCAGTTATAGTGTCCTTGACCAATGCTACACTAGTCGCATTGTCAATGATCACCGCCACACCAATCCAAGTGTCCTAAATCACCGCCACACCAGTTATGGTGTTCCTGATCACCGCCATGCCAATGCAGTGTGTTGCCTCTGCCTGCTGCTTGTACTAATCCTGGACCAGGGGCGGACTGACAATTCATGGGGCCCCCGGGCAATAGTGGATCATGGGGCCCCTGTGTCCTTGCCCAAATTCAAAATAACCTATGAAAAAGGTACCAGGGGCATCTCATGGGGCCCTCTACTGACCCGGGCATTCGGGCAGTGCCCGAGTTTCCAAATGGTCAGTCCGCCCCTGTCCTGGACTGTTTATTTACTTTATGCTTGCAGCCTGGACCAATCCCTTGCCTGTTTTCTGACCATGTCTCTGCTTGTGCCTGAACTGACCAATCTGCACATCCCACTGGACTACTATCCTGTGAGATACCAGTCCCAGTCATCCCCTGTGCACAACTGCACTCCTGGAACCACAGGAAATCTTTTATTCTTCCTTTCTTCAGCCTCCTGTACTTCCTGGCCAGTGAAAATGGCATTTCTGGGGCAGTTACGTACCAGTAGTCTAGGCTTGCTTGGCTTATAGGAATGGGGACTGCTATAGGTGACGGTACACTAAGCTATATTCCCTGACCACTCATGCAGAGGCGACCATTAAAGTACATTGGTTTTGACACAATTTGTTAGCTTGTGTGATACACAAGATACAATGTCTGGTGCATAATCAGTCCAGACACTGAAAAAGTCTCATACATGTGGTATCATCATACATACCTATACTGTGTGTGAGAAATATTTTATAACCACTTCAATACCAGGCACTTTTACCCCCTTCCTGCTGAGGACAATTTTTAGTGTTCAGCGTTCTTGCACTTTGAACGACTACTGTGTGGTCATGTAATGCTGTACCCAAACAAAATTTTTAGCATTTTCTTCACATAACTAGATCTTTCTTTTGGTGGTATTTAAGCAGAAACCGGATTTTTTATTTTTTGCTAAATTATTTTGAAAAAAAAAACATGTTTTTCTTTGTTTCTATTATAAAATTTTGCAAATAAATAATTGTTCTTTATAAATTTAGGCCAAGATGTATCCTGCTACATTTTTTTGGTGAAAATAACCCAAATCAGTATTTATTATTTAGTCTGTAGGAATGTTATAGAGTCCACAAAGTATAGTATACTGTATATCTGAAAATCAATCAATTCTGAAGTACTAATGGCCAGTCTACTTTCTTGAGGCCCAAACATTTTTTAATTTTTAATTTTTCCTTCTGCATTTTCCAAAGCATTTCGCAAAAAAAAATGAAGTCTTCAAAAGACTCACTATGCCACTTAAAAAGATACCTTGGGGCACTAACTCTCCAAAATGGGGTAATTTTATGGGTGTTTCTACTGTCCTGTTGCTCCAGGGGCTCCAAAAATGTGATAGGTAATAAGGAAATTAGATTAATAATTTATGCCCCCAAAAAGCCTGAAGGTAATCAATGGATTTTGGGCCCTCTTCATGGATAGGCTGTGAAAAAGTTGCACCCATGTGGTATCGCCACAGAAGAGTTGAAAAAATGTGTTTTGGAGTGTATTTCTAAGGATGTCTATGCTGTTTGTTAGAAATGTCTTATTAATTGACAACTGTTACAACTATTTTCATTTTCTTTCCAAGTGGCAAAAATACATTTTCAAAAGACTCATTATGCCTTTCAGAAAATATCTTGAAGTGTTTGCTTTCCAAAATGGGGTCATTTTGTGGGTGTTTCCACTGTCCTGGGGCTCCAGGGCCTCCAAAATTGTGATAGGTAGCCAGGAAATCAGATTCATAATTTATGCCCCTGGAACATGTTAACACTCCTTTGATTCTGGGCCCCTCTGTGCATCTAGGTTGTAAAAAAGTCTCACACATGAAGTATTTACATACTCAGGAGGAATAGCAGAATGTGCTTTGGGGTATAATTATAAGTATGCCCATGCTGTGTATAGATAAATAACTTGTTAAAATGTTTTGTGAAAAAAACACACAAAAAAATTGTGAAAAAAATACATTTTATTGAAATTTTTCATTTGTCAAAAAACTTTGACAACAAATTAGAACTTTGAAAAATGCACCATGCCTCTTACAAAATACCTTGGACTCTCTACTTTCCAAAAAGTAGGTTATGGGGGGGGATCAGTACATCAGGACTGAACAATTTTCAAATATATATACCATAGTTTGTAGACTATAATTTTCACACAGGCTGAATAATATACACTTATTTTGGTTATTTTAATGAAACAAATGTAGCATAATATATTTTGTCTCAAATTTATACAGTAGGAGTATTTATTTGCAAAATGTTATAACAGAAACTAAGAAATGTGTTTTTTTTTTCAAGATCTTGGGGTTTGTTTTGTTTATAAAGCAAAAAGTAAAAAAATAATGGTGATTAAATACCACCAAAAGAAAGCTCTATCGGTCTCAAAAAAGTGATAAAAAGTTCATTTGAATACAGTGCTGCATGACTGAGTAATTGTCATTCAAATCATGACTACTAAACAGCTAAATATTGCCAGGACTGAAAGGCAGTGAAAGTGTCTGGACCTGACGTGGTTAAGGTTCTTTGGTATTTTGTAGTTACAGTGCCTTGAAAAAGTATTCATACCCCTTGAAATTTTCCACAATTTGTCATGTTACAACCAAAAGCATAAATGTATTTTATTGGGATTTTATGTGATAGACCAACACAAAGTGGCACATAATTTTGAAGTGGAAGGAAAATGATACTGATAGAGAAATCCCCAAAAGGACTTGCAGCTGCAATTGCAGCGAAAGGTGGTTCTACAAAGTATTGACTCAGGGGGGCTGAATACAAATGCACGCCACACTTTTCACATATTTATTTGTAAAAAATTTTGAAAACCATTTATAATTTTCCTTCCACTTCACAATTATGTTCCACTTTGTGTTGGTCTATCACATAAAATCCCAATAAAATACATTTATGTTTTTGGTTGTAACATGACAAAATGTGGAAAATTTCAAGAGGTATGAATACTTTTTCAAGGCACTGTACATTTGTCTAAAAAAATGGAATGCCAGTGCACTAACAAGTAGCAATAATAACAGGACACTTTCGTGGAGTTTGCATGTCCACCCCGTGCTTGCATAAGTTTCTTCCGATTAGCCCAATTTCTTCCCAAAGACACGTTGGTAGGTTTATTGGCTCCTGTATAACATGGCCCTGGTATGTGCATGCCTGTGTTTATGCATGTGAGATAGGGTCCTTAAATTTTAACCCCTTGACGCAGAGCGCACGCAAATATGCGGCCTTTCGGTGTCTGGGCCTTGATGCCGAGCGGCCAGATATTTGCGTGCTATTAGAAAATACATATGTGCTGAGAGCACGCGCCCTGCACACTCCCAATGCATATGTCCGTGATTTACGGAAAGGTTGCGATCTCCCCTTGCGTTCGGGACCTTTTCCGATCATGTGACCACCGTGATGGTGAATCACAGCGGTCACATGACCCTAAAACCTTGCCCGCCTCCCAGATTCTGAAACTCTTAAAGGTCTGGAGCGAAATGGTTAAGCTCCTTGAGGACATGGACCATGTGAAAGTGCAATAAAGCACTGCATAAATTGTAAATGCCTATAACAAATAAATAAATTATGAATTTTATCAGTTCTTCATTGCCAAAGTTGAGCAATTGTATCTGCCTAGCTGGAATTGTCAGAGGAGCTACTGGAACATGTTTGAGGAGTCCTGATTTATATACAAAAACGCTTTTTATTCAGTTAAAAAATGTGAGTGCATTTGGAGCATCACTTGAGTATTAAATAGTTTTTAACAGTATTACGCTATTTTGGTATTTTTTCTTTTGCATTTTTCTCATCCATCCATCCATGAGAATGCATTCGGGGTAAATTAAGGAGGAATCATGAGCGGATGGCTTGAGAGTAGCAAGCTGGCCATAAAGTACCCCTATCCATCCGTCCATCCATCTGTCCATTCAGGAGTGAGAGCTTGGAGGAAGATAAGGGTCGATCACAATCTGTGATGTGGGAGATCAAATTACCCTATGGAAATTGGGGCTTAATTACTTTATGTGAGTGTAAGGAAGGTTTTTTTTTGCATTTTTTTTATAAAATATATTTTTTATCGGTATATAGCAATATATCATTGGCATCTTTTTCTTTTATGTTTATCGCTATATGAGGAAATATCTGGGAAGGAGAGTAAGTGGGAAATCGCATAAAGAGTTATATCATCTGTGAGGACACCACACCCCCTGCAGGTAGGGGTGTATTTACCACAAGGCAAACAAGGCATTTGCCTAGGGCAGAATTTTTCAGGGGGGCAGCACTGCCCCTTGGAAGAAGGGACGGAAGAAGGGACACATGCAGCATGGGGACCTGGTGAGTTCCAAGAGATGCTGTGGGTTTCATTGACGTTGTATGCACAGCCCAACTCTCGTTCCTGGGGATGTCCGGAGCTGTGAAGGTGAGTGTCTTTTTCTCTCTCTCTCGCCATGGGGGATGGCGGCTGGTGTATGGGGGGCAGTGGTAGTGGAAGGCTTGGGTGGAGGACAGGGGTATTCTTGATCAATGTCAGGCTCTTTCTGCGGGGGGGGGGGGGGGGGGGGTGACAATTTTTGTGTTGCCTAGGGCAGCACAAAACCTAAATACACCACTGCCTGCAGGCTTGTCTTTTTTGCATCTTAAAGCCATACCAGTTTGGGAATTCACAGCATTTGGTGAGTGTGGATCTATATAATGCTTTTCACAGAAGATGTGAGCAAGCTGGAAAATTTTAAAGTTTGAGTAAATAATCATTTTTTCAGATTTTTTGGGACATTGGACTTTAATTTGGGACTTTTTTTGGACTTTCACATATACTTTGTTGCAGTTTTGATTATCTGCGCTGTATTATTTTTATTATAATAAATAAATATTACCTGCTGCAGTCTAAAAACACAGTCTTAGGCCCCTTTCACACTAGCAGACCGATCGGGTCCACCTGTCCGTTATTCTGGCAGACCCGATTGCGGTATGTGTAAACAGATATGAGTCCGTTTACACCCCCTACATCCAATCTGATCTGATCTGCTAAA